GTGCAGTGGTGTGATCTCGGCTCACTGCAAGCTCTGCCTCCCGGGTTCACGCCATTCTCCTGCCTCAGCCTCCTGAGTAGCTGGGACTACAGGTGCCCGCCACCACGCTTGGCTAATTTTTTGTATTTTTAGTAGAGATGGGGTTTCACCGTGTTAGCCAGGATAGTCTCGGTTTCCTGACCTCGTGATCCGCTCGCCTCGGCCTCCCAAAGTGCTGGGATTACAGGCGTGAGCCACCGCACCCGGCCGACTATGATTTTTATTACTAGTGCTCTCTTGCCAGGAAGCAGATAGGTGAGAACAAAATGGCAAATGACAGTCAGAGAATCTGGACTCCTTCTCACAGTGCTTGCCTGGGGATAGGCTCTGCCATTGCTAGCTATGGTGTCTTGGCCAATTAGTTCCTCCTTCTACACTTCCGTTTCCTTCTCTGCCCAATGGGAGTGAGGACAGGAGCTTCCTCCAAAGTTTCCGCAGAATCAATTAGGTGATGTGTGCAGCGTGTGTGCCCTGGGGTGCCTGGCAGAGATGCGTTGATGGGCTTGGCAGGGGGTGACGTTGGCAGTGAGGATTCAAAGCTCTGCCCAGAAGCGTCCCTGAAGCCAGACGTCTTCTAACTGGTTGGCCTCCCCTCCAGGGCAGCAGACACTGTGTGCACGCCAGCTGCGGGATCCAGCGGCCCCTTCTCAGCCTCCCTGTCACTCTCCCAGCTGCCTGGAGTGTGCCAGTCCGACCAAAGCACTACTCTCCGAGCTTCACACCCACCCGGCTTCAACCACTCCACCTACCCACAAGGTCCCACCATGGCGCCCAGCGCAGCCCCTGCCACCCAGCCTGAGGGAGACCAGCAGAGTGTCTCCAAGGCCCCTAACGTGGGCTCCCGCACGACAGCTGCATGGCCGCACAGCGATGCACAGGAGGGGACTGCCTCTTCCACGACCAACTCTGTAGCAGGTCACAGCAACTCCAGCGTTTTCCCCAGGGCTGCCAGCGCCACCGCATCCCAGCACAGAGGAGAACATGTCCCCGGGCTTGTCGTTGAGCCTAGTATCTCAGCTGCCTCCACCCCACTGGCGAGCAAGCTCCTGGACCCCTTCCCTACCTCGTGGACCCCCATAAGCTCGCCTCAGCCCGGCCAGAGGACACACGCCACACCTCAAGCCCCAAACCCGAGTCCTTCTGAGGGCGGGATTCCAGTCTTGCTGCTAGACGACTACAGTGAGGAGGAGGAGGGGAGGAAGGAGGAGGTGGGAATGCCTCACCAGGATGTCCCCTGTGATTACCATCCCTGCAAGCACCTACAGACCCCGTGCGCTGAGCTGCAGAGGCAGTCCCGGTGCCGTTGCCCCGGCCTCAGCGGAGAAGACACCATCCCAGACCCGCCCAGGCTGCAGGGGGTGACGGAGACAACGGACACGTCGGCGCTGGTCCACTGGTGTGCCCCCAACTCGGTAGTGCACGGGTACCAGATCCGCTACTCTGCGGAGGGCTGGGCGGGGAACCAGTCGGTGGTGGGGGTCATCTACCCCACGGCCCGGCAGCACCCTCTGTACGGGCTGTCGCCGGGCACCACCTACCGCGTGTGCGTGCTGGCGGCCAACAGGGCAGGCCTGAGCCTGGAGGAGCCTGGAGGCTGGAGGAGCCCGTGCGCCGCCTTCACCACCAAGCCCAGCTCTGCGCTCCTGCTCTCCGGGATGTGCGCAGCCAGCGGCCTGCTGCTCGCCAGTACCTTGGTGCTGTCCGCGTGTCTCTGCAGGCGGGGCCAGACGCTACGCCTGCAGCGCTGCGACACGCACCTAGTGGCCTGCAAAAACCCGGCCTTTGATTACCCGCTGGAGCTCCAGACCGTCAGTTAGCCCAGCTTCTGGGCAAACGCCTCTAACCGAACTGGATCTGAGCGCAGAAAGGTACAGAAGGTCAAAAACGACCCCATCCGCTCCTAGGGTTTCTAATTCCCGTGAAGCCAGAATGCCCTGGGCACACATGGAACTTGCCACACTGAGTGTCTCAGTCCAAGGAACAACTGCCCTCCCTTCCTTCTACTTTACTCTCTGTTCCCAGAAACCTGATGGTCAATGCCAGATCGCTCCCCACTGCGGCCAGGCCTTCTTGTGTGTTGTTTCGTTTGGGGTTTTCAGCAGTCAGTGCCCTTCTATCCAGTAGAATAGTGTATGGAAGTTGGAAGGGATGAAACAGGGAAATTGCATAACCCAGCCTCTTTGATCGTTAGAAATCACATCCTCAGGTCTTTCCAGCGGAAGCTCCTTCATGGTCAAGCTCTAAGGCATAATGAGCTCTGTTATTCAAGAAATCAATTCCAGTGGATTTCCAGTTCCAATTCCTGAGAACCGGGGTTAGGGGGAGAGCTAATTAATGGTTGCTTCGTAAGGCCTTCTGGGTTTATTAGTTCCATTTCAGGACATGACAAGAAAATACACTTCCAGCTTTACAGTTAAAACCAGTTTTCTGGGAACATTTGTCAAACACAGGGAAAAGCTGTCCTTTTAAGTTAGTGTTTACTTATTTCACCTAAGACTAAGTGGACAAATGAATTATAAATTCATTTTTTAGGAAGCATAATAAACTTTGGAAATCTTTTTTCTTAATTAGAGGGGAGAAATGAGCTAAAGAGAACCCAAGACTCTAGCTAGAAGCCCAAGTGTTTCTCTGCCCTAAGTGCATCAAACAATGCCTTAAAATCTGTCTTCATGTGGGAGGCATCTACTCTGCCCTCTACTTTTTCACTTTTATACAAACTCAGGGGAAACTCAGGGGAAAAAATGATTCTATGAAATTATAATTAGAGCCATATTTCTAGATTTTAATTTTCAACATTAGCATTTATTAATTTCCTGCAGCTGCCATAACAAGTTAGTAAAACTGGCTTAAAAGAACATAAATTTATTTTCCTACAGTCCAAGTCAGAAATCCCAAATCAAAGCATCAGTGGAGTTGGTTCTTCTTGCAGGCTCCAAGGGAGTTGTTCCATCTTCTCTCCCAGCTTTGGATGGTTGGCAGCAATCCTCAGTATTCCTTAGCTTGTAGACATCATTCCAATCTATCCCTCCATCATCTCACGGCATTCTCTGTCTCCCTGTTCACATTTCCTTTTTTTTTTTTTTTTTTTTTTAACCAAAAAAACTAGTTATTGGGTTAAGGCCCACTGTAATCCAGTATGACCTAATTCTAACTTGATTGCATCTAAAAAGACCCTATCTCCAAATAAGGTTACATGTACAGTACTGGGGGTTTGAATGTGAACATCTCTTCCTTGGAAGATGCAATTCAACCCACAAGAGCATTTACTTCTACTGTAAGAAGAAAACAAATCAAGTTTAAATCCCATGTATCTTTTGTTTCCAAACCATGCTGCAGAAACTAAAACTGAATTGCACTATATATTTCTAGGTGTTTGAAGTTTTGAAAGAGCTTCCCCAAATTTTAAGGTAGATCCCTAGTTTCATCATAAATGTAACTAAGAGAATTGGAATAAATGGTTTCAAAGATCTCCACCAGCTTCTGGTTAAAAACTGCAAAGCTATGATGTGTGTGCTTGTAAAAAAAAAAAAAAAAAAATACACACACACACACACGAAACTGCAAAGCACGGTTGGTGTGCACCTATAATCCCAGCTACTCAGGAAGCTGAGGTGAAAGGGTCACTTGGGCTCAGGAATGAGGCCCCAACTAAAATGCACTGCAAAAGCCCAAAATCTAATTAGTATAAAATCCTCAGACATGTACCTAAATGACACTAATGCTTTATTTTTAAGCTTACTGTCAAGGTTAAGCCTATTCTGTGAAGACACTGAAATGAATTTTCATCATGTTTTGAGTCTATAAATAAGTATGTACTCAGACATGTCTAAATACAATTCCAATGTTTTATAAACTGGCAGAATTGATGTGTTTTATAACAATTCAGTATCCAAAAGCCTGAGGAGACTTGGATCATTTTTCTAACGGTTGAAGTGGAAAAAGTTTATTAACGAGAGCCAGACTGAGACCTTAATAATAAAAAGATTATGGGTCCAAGCCCTAAGTCACTCCAAATGGCATCAACATTAAACCATAAATAAGCATAACAAGGTGCAAAGTTCTAAATTTTCCCATAGCTACTTCAAGTCCTCCCTTTTTTTAAACATTATTCTTATGAGGCTCACCCATTACTAATGCAGAGACTCACTCAGTGTGCCTCTTGGGTGGTTCAGCAGTGGGAAGTCCACCTTCAGCCTTACTCCTAACAATGAAGCTGTTCTCCAGAGAGCAAGAATAGCCAGCCACATGCCCCCTTCTCTGCCTTTTCAACCCCCTCCATCTGATTCAATGGTGTTGTCCCTGGCTGCAGGCTTCAGTATGCTCCAAGCCAAGTGCAGCTCAGCCGCCGGTCTGAGAACAAAGAAGCCAGGACCAGCAAGCCACAGAGGGACACACTGGTGCAGAATGCCTGGCCAAGAGGCATGAGTTTTACTTACAGCCTCCCATTCTAATTTAATGCAGCTCAATAGGCTGAGAATGGATAATCTCACTGCAGTATTCTGTAATAGGCTTGGATTAAAACCAGGGACGATGGGCAACAATAGGCCTCTACTGTTAAGCAGCAACAACCGGTTACCCCTGGACTGTCGTCTTCTCCCATTCCCCATATTCCGCATTCTCCTAAATATGATGTATTTGTAGCAAGACTCTTTTAAAGTCAGATGATCAGACTAATTATTTTTACAATTTAAGTGTAAGTGATGTACATGAATGGACTTTGTGAACTGGAAAACTTACGTAACAGCAGAGAATAAGTATGTTATATGGAACAACCCAAGTTGAAGGTACAATTTTTTTTCCAGCTCTTTTATTCCTTTAACTTCTTAACAAAAGAAGAGTCTCCAAAGTTTAAAAAACCTTTGAAAAATATACAGCTTGATATTATTTACATAATACATGAATCCAGGTTCCGATATCAAACATTGCTATGTCAGAAACACAGTGGAAGGCAGGAATGTAACTCACTGCCTTTTAGACGCAAAGACTAATAGACACGTTCTCGTATCTCGACTATCTTTGTTACCTGTTATCCTCATACATAAATTATTAGGCCCTGAGAGGTTGGAAGACTACCGAAAATGAACTTCATACCTTCTATTCTGTTTGATTATTATCTTAAAAACTTACTGCATTTTAAATCTCTAACTTTACTTCATCTACAACTAACTTCACTTTCATTATCCCAAATGATCAGGTATTAACTACATGAACTGTTAATGTATACACAGACCTAAAAGTCAAACAAAAATGTATTGCCCAGTTGTGTAGGATATATATTTGAACCCCACGACATTTCCTAGTGCTTTGTGAGCAATCCAAATTTCACTTAAGAGAGGTGTCAACTCTGCCCATGCTCTGGACTATGTTTGTAGAAAACATATAAAAAAGACTGACAATAATTAATCTCTTATAAATTAATCAAGAAACCTAAGATTAAAAATTCTAAATTATAGTTTTATTTGTATTTAAAAATACATTGGAAATTCTGCATATTCCCATGATCAACCTTATTTTCAATGCACATTACTTAAATTTTGATGACATGGTTGGTTCTGACAAGTCCTTTTTCAAGCTGAACACCAAAATAGGGAAACTCCTGTAGATTTCCACGGGCCCTGTTCCCATTGATGTATACTGCTTCCTTACTAACGGTGATAGATGGCTTTCATCAGTCTTTTATCACCTGAACAGTCTTCCGACCATAATGATAGTAACTGTAAGCTGATGCAGCTGTGGTGAAAGCTGTAAAACACCTTTTATGGAAGAAAAGAAATAAAATTTAGTTGTCAAGTCTAAAAAACAGTAGCAATAGGAATCATAATGAATACATGCAAAAGATCTATTTAAAAAGCAAAAAGGCTGGGTGCAGTGGCTCACGCCTGTAATCCCAGCACTTTGGGAGGCCAAGGCGAGCGGATCACGAGGTCAGGAGATAGAGACCATCCTGGCTAATATGGTGAAACCCCATCTCTACTAAAAAAATACAAAAAATTAGCCGGGCGTGGTGGTGGGCGCCTCTAGTCTCAGCTACACAGGAGGCTGAGGCAGGAGAATGGCGTGAACCGGGAGGCGGAGCCTGCAGTCAGCCAAGATGTGCCACTGCACTCCAGCCTGGGCGACAGAGCGAGACTCCGTCTAAAAAAACAAAAGTAAAAAGGGCTCTGTGGTGTAATTTTTCTTAACTACAAGAGTCTAAATACACTGCTTTTCTTTAAGACTTCATTTTAATTAGTAATGTCAAACAAAATTATTCTAGGTAATGAGCCCTACAAATAAATACTACTAGCAACTGTCATTTTTTACTCAGGCATCCTCTAGGTGTCTTACATTCTCATTTTATTCTTACAACAAACTCATCCTCCAGAAGGGGGAAATGGAAGACCCGGAGAACTTGCTCAGGGCTTATCAAAGAACTATGTTTGAGCCTGATTTGGTTTCAGCTCTAAAGCCCACATGCTCCTTCTACTGCTCCATGCTGCTCAGGGTACCAGACTCTATTTCCTGTAGCTTTTGAGAATTCTAAAGTTATCTGAGTAATTTTAAATAAATTTCAGCTTTCTTTACCAAATTACCCTTAACTGGATTCTCCTTGAAATGACATCAACTGATGCCCGTGGCATGCTGAATGCCCACAGCTAGGAGATTACTTTTTAGTGCACCCACGCACTTCTGCTTTTATTAGGTGAGGCAGAATCAAGATTCCCTTTTGTTGGATCTTGAATCTGTTCATGCCACTTTGATATACTAAATTCATAAACCAATGAAATCTATGTGTTAGAAAAATTGCTATTTCTAGCTGGACGCAGAGGCTCATGACTATAATCCTACCACTTTGGGAGGCTGAGGCAGGAGGATTGCTCGAAGCCAAGAGTTTGAGACCAGCTTGGGCAACATAGTGAGACCCTGTTTCTACAGAAAATAATAATATAAAAAATTAGTGGCTGGGCGCAGTGGCTCACACCTGTAATCCTAGCACTTTGAGGCCGAGGCAGGTGGATCGAGGCCAGGAGTGCGAGATCGGCCTAACCAACATGGTGAAATCCTGCCTCTACTATATAAAAATTGGCCAGGTATGGTGGTGGGTGCCTGTAATCCCAGCTACTCAGGAAGTTGAGGCAGGAGAATGACTTGAACCCGTGAGGTAGAGGTTGCAGTGAGCTGAGATCAGGCCATTGCACTCCAGCCTGGGCAACAGAGTGAGAACCCGTCTCAAAAAAAAAAAAGAAAAAAAAAATTAATTAAATTAAAAAAAACCAAAATAGCTAGGTGTGGTGGCACATGCCTGTAATCCCAGTTACTCAGGAGGCTGAAGTGGGAGGATCGCTTGAGGCCAGCAATTCAAGGTTACTGTGAGCTATGATCATGCCACTGCACTATAGCCTGGGTGACAGAGCAAGACCCTGTCTCCAAAAAAAAAAAAAAAAAAAATTTTTTTTAAATTGCTATTTCTGAAAACTACATTGGATGCTTTACAAAAGACTCAATAAAGGTGACTTGATAAAAAAAAAATACTGTCTCTGTTTTCATGGGTACCTAGGGGAAAAAAGTACTGTCAAAATAAATAGGCAAGATGATTGTGAAAAGACTAGGGAAAAAATCTAAACAGTTCTTAGACTGCTTTGTAAATGTTTTAAGTTCTTGCATCACCTTAAAGAAGTAGAAAATGAAAATCAGAGAGGTTGTATTATGGATGTAGTTTATCCAAGAAAGAAAAAACTCCCACTGATGGACCTGCATTCAAAAAGTCTTCATCCTATATCAGAAGGTATAAGATGAATTGGGATAAATGTACACTTAAATATTTTAAATTAAAAAGTTTAGAGTAGTTGTCATTTTTTAAAAGCTTGCCTGGCTTAACTGACTGTGATTAGTCACCACTTTCTGGTCCAGACTGTACCAAGCAAGATAATTTTAATTCTAGTTAAAATTGTGCCAAAATATAATACTCCAATATCAATGTGACATATTTTGAACTCTGAAAGCATGAATTTGACACACTTTTAAGATGATAAATAAGCAATTAGTATAATAAAATTCAAACTCCTTTCTCCAGTTTTCCCTCCTACAACAACCCTTTCAACAGGCTGGACTCAGCTTCCCTACCCGCTCTCCAACACTGTCTCTTGGCTTAGGCCCTGTCTTTCACCTAGTGGCCTCCTCTGAGTCCTACACAATCCACCTATACTTCATGCATCAACCACCACCTCCTCCCTGAAACCGTCCCTCTTATTCCTATGAAGTTATCTCTTCCTCCAAAACCCTAACACATTATCAGTACCATTTATCCCTTTTAACTGGTATGAAAGCTAACTTCTACATCTCATACTTCACAGGAAGTGTCTTAACAATGGTATCAATCACAAAATATAGCCACAGCTTTATCCAGTCAGTGCTCGATAAATGCTGTAAGAACAAGGTCATTCTAGGGCTATCACAATAAGTCATTCTGTTGACATTCTAAGACAGTGATTCTAAATTTAGCTTACCACAGTATCTGAAGATAAATGCTGTCAGCATAGTTGAAAACTGGAGCTGCCAAAGAAGCTGCCACCAAGATTAACTGGACTGCTGTATTTACCTAAATAAAAAAAGAAAGAGTTCTAAGTGAATAGTGCTAACTGGATCCTATTTCAAGCGTTCAAGACAAAAGCACAGCCCATCACACTATAACATGACATACCCTCAGCATGCTTGCAGTTCATCTACACTGTCCCTGCCCAAGAAGCTTGCATTCACAGGTGAGCACACACAAAAGGGTCAACTTCACTAACTGACCCATCTGTCTGCACAGCTGCCCTTAAGAGTGAGAGTAATGACAACTGTCAGAAAATACCACTACCTTGAATTCCCACAGCAACTCAAAAATGTTACAAAATTATTTGCCTTTTTTCCAACTGCCCATTAAAATAGAATATGAAAATAACTAGGCTACCTCCTCATGGGTAAAAGAGTAAGGAGTTAGGTGACTTGCCTGCAGTCACAGCAGACAACAGAAGCAAAGCTGGAACCTAGATTTCCTAGGGTCTTATCTGATGTTCCTTTCTTGCCTGTCAAACCTTGTGAGGTTAGAAAATTAAAATGCACGCATCTCAGGACAGATGCAGTAGTTCATGCCTGCAATCCCAACACTTTTGGAGGCTGAGGCAGAAGGACTACTTGAGCACAGGAGTTCAAGACCAGCTAGTTAAAAACCAGTCAAGCATGGTGGCGTGCACCTGTACTCTCAGCTACTTGGGAGGCTGATGTGGGAGGATATTTTGAGCCTGGGAAGTCAAGGCTGCAGTGAGCTATGATTGCATCACTGCGCTCAAGGCTGGGCGGACAGAGCAAGACCCTATTTCAAAGACAAAGCACTCATCTCCATAAAAGAACCTCTCTAAAGGAGGAAATGAGTAGGCTTCCCTACACTAAAAGACAGCACTGGGGAGAAAAGAAAATAGAACAAGAAACACACTGGACACTCCCTCTATCATCATGAGAAGCATTCCATGGAAGAGTCTGTAAAGTATGAAAACAGGAGTGAAGCAGACAAGCACCTCTGTTCTATCACCCGTTCTCCAGCCAAATGACACTTCATTTTAAAAAATAATAGCCGGGCGCAGTGGCTCACGCCTGTAATCCCAGCACTTTGGGAGGCCGAGGTGGGTGGATCACCTGAGGTTAGGAGTTTGAGACCAGCCTGACCAACATGGTGAAACCCCATCTCTACTAAAGAATACAAAAAAATTAGCTGGGCAAGGTGGCGCACGCCTGTAATCGCAGCTACTTGGGAGACTGAGGCAGGAGAATTGCTTGAACCCGGCAGGTGGAGACTGCAGTGAGCCGAGATCGCATCACTGCACTCCAGCCTGGGCAACAAGAGCAAAAAATCCATCTTTAAAATAAAATAAAATAAAATAAAATAAAATGAAATAAAAAATAAATTTTATCTGAAGGACTTCCTATAAGGGTTTAAGGCACTTGTCCCTGTACCTCTTTAAGCCACTTTCCATGTAGTGCTACACTCAAATACAATATAAATACAAATCACTTGAAGCCAAACAAACAAAAAACAAAAAAAAACCCAAACCCTATGCATGTAGGTAAAAGTCCACCCCAGGGAGTTCTGTATAAAAGCCACCACCCTTCTCTCCCAAAAAGGATGGGCATTCTTAACTTGTTAAATCCTTGACATTAAATATGGGACAAAAGAATGAACAGAGAAAACTTATCAAAACTACTAGAAAAACAAATATGGTTTGAGAGGCATTAATAGTATCCTTTTTGTGTGCAGACTGGCATATACTTACTGCCCTGAATGCTCAGGAAAACAGAATGGACAACTAAGAGTAGCAGTTGTTTATCAGTGAACAAAACTTTTTCCTACTCTCCTACGCCTTTCCACTTAACTGTCAATCCTGAAAATGAACGGCCATTTGGTGTGTTCACCACAGGGAAGAGGGGAGTGAAACCACAAGGGACTCTTCATAATCTGTGAAACTCAATCAAGAAGCAATTACAGCCAAGCTTGGTGGCTCACTCCTGTAATCCCAATAATTTGGGAGCCCAAGGCAGGAGGACTGCTTGAAGCCAGGAGTTCCATACCAGCCTGGGCAACAAAGTAAGACCTTGTCTCAAAAAAAAAAAAAAAAAAAAAAAAAAAAAAAAAAAAAAAAGACCTTGTCTCAAAAAAAAAAAAAAAAAAAGGAACAACTACATTTCAATTCCCTTTCCCTGAACAGTGGCCCAATTACCTCATTCAGAGCTTAAATTCTCAGACCACCAACTCAAGGCACAACATGTAAAGGATGATCCAAAAAAAATGGAGGACAAAAAAAAGAACTGGGTTAAAGTTGCCTGCCTAACGCCACTCTCTAGCCTCTATACTCTATGCATTTAAATTTGTCTCATTTTCAGCTGTTCTTGACTGAGGTTTATATCCCATATAATAAAAATTTACAAAGGGATAACTTAAAAGAACATTGCATTCTCTTACCTTGCTGATGAATGTTGGTTTTAACCTAGCTGTGGCATAGCAAGGATTGAAATACTTGGCAAGTGTTCGCTGGCAGAGGACCAAAAAAGATAATTAATTTATTGTTTAAAATAGACATTTTTATTTAAAATAGACATTTTGTTATTATAGTCAGGTAACAACATAATTTTATAAATCATACATTCAATATATACTGAAAATTGAGTTTTAAAAAATTTATAGATTTCTCAATTGCTGTAAAATTCAAACACAATACCTATAAAGTTGCTTTATAAAATTTTACTAAACTCAAAATTCCCTTATTCACTATTTTCTTTTTTGAATTAAAAAATAAAATGAACAAAATACCGCTCTATTTTCAGTAGACTGGGAGCCAAAAGAGGTTAATTGCCACACGTCTGTGCTCAAATATTTATAGAGCTCATGAACAAATATGCAAACAAACCATTCCATGTTCATACAACTGTGATTTTTAAAACCAATTCTAGACTATCCATGGTAGAGGTTAGACAATATGTCTCGGACCTAATGTGAAACACCTTTAAACAATTTGCTTCTAGGGATATGGGCTGGCTGGTCTGGGTTTCACGTGCCATCAATTGAAAAGAGGTTGACTTTAAAAAATATCTTTTTGTTTTTTCCTTAAATCATATACAATGCTAAAAGAATACTTTTTGGAAACAAACTCACTGGTGTTGGAAGAGTTCGGTATCTGACATAAAAAACAGCAGCAATCAACATTACATCTCTTGAAATGATCATATAAGTAAGCGGAACTGAAAATCAAACATAAAATAATTTTAACTGGGATTCTGAAAATTACTAACATATATTATGAATATAATAACATGTCATTCAGCCTTACCAGAAACTGCTGTTTTCACAAATAGTTTTATAATGAACACCTATTGATGGTTTAGGGTTCCCTATAGCAAACTACTGATTTTTATATTCTTCTTTAACCCGCCCTCAAAACAAAGTGAAGTACAGACTATAACTTTGAAGTCTGTATCTGCGTTTCAGTATGCCGATCTTCTCATCCGATTATGTTTTTTTCTTGCATGTTTTTAAGCTATTGGTCTGAAGTTGTCAGCATCAGCTGTACTCAGCACTCTCTCCTCCTTTGCTACTTCTTAGTTAGCTCTGTACATTTGAAAAAAAGATCACCATACTCAGAATTACATGGAAAGAGATGAGAAAGGGGTGGTGAAGGATGTGGGAGGCCTCAAACTCTTCTGGAATCTCAGGAGCTTTGATTGCTTGTTCTGCATTTTAGACTATTCTCTGAAGAGTAAAATTTGCTGTTATGTGCAACTAGTAGAGAAACAGAATTTTTTTTGTATTTGTTTTGTTTTTTTTTTTGACAGGGCCTTGCTTTGTTGCCTAGGCTGGAGTGCAGTGGCACGGTAACGACTCACTGCAGCCTTGACCTCCTGGGCTCAAGGCAATCCTCTCACCTCACCCTCCCAAGTAGCTGGGAACACAGGTACATGCCACCATGCCTAATTTTTTTTTTTTTTTGGTAGAGAAGGGATTTCACCATGTTATCCCAGCTGGTCTAAAACTCCTGAGTTCAAGCGATCTGCCCGCCTCAGCCTCTCAAAATGCAAGGATTACATGCATGAGCCACCGTGCCCAGCCTGAAATATTTTATACTTATCCAGCCAGTTCCTTCCTAGGGATTGCTGTTTTTCTCCTTGTCCATTCAATGAATTCAACTTGTCAATAGTTCCGTCATCATTCCTCAGATTTTACACTATGGTCCCAGAGCCATAGCCAACAGAAGGATATCTTCAAATAAATACCTAAGGAACCCCTATTTCCTTATTGAATGGGAATGAGATGGCAAAGAACTTGCTTCACTTTATATCCTTCTGCACCACAGAAAGTTTTTAACTGTGAATATATCTTTTATAAGAAAAAAATTATTTTTAAAAAGGGTGGGAAAAAAACCCTGAGTTCACTCGGTTCAAACACTATTCAAACTATTTCAAATAAATAAAGATAAAAATAAAAAGGATCATGAATATCCCTTCCGTAATACTTTCAGACAAATCTTTTATGAATTATTGGAGGCTGTACTTATGGTCCTCTCCAGTTTTGACATTCAACTGGCTCTGCAATTTGAAGAAAATCTTTAATTAATTACAGATTTAAAATTTAAATCTCTGCTGGTTATAGCTATGATGTAAGTGTTGATCCTTGGCCGAGTCCTTGATGGATAACACTATTCCAAAGAAAAAGTGCTTATCCACTCAAGTCATAGCATTTGGAGCAAACAAGATATGGCTATATGAGCCAAGCATAAAAACAGTAAGTCATAATTTTTAGGAACATTTTTGTACCTGTAAAACAAACTTTTCTGTAGCAATCATTAGCTGGCAAAATCTAACAACAATCATACTTTCAAAATGCAGCAAACCTGTGCGGTGGCTCACGCCTGTAATCCCAGCACTTTGGGAGGCCGAGGCAGGCAGATCACCTGAGGTCAGGAGTTCGAGACCAACCTGACCAACAAGGAGAAGCCCCATCTCTACTAAAAATACAAAATTAGCCAGGTGTGGTGGCGCATGCCTGTAATCCCAGCTACTCAGGAGTCTGAGGCAGGAGAATCACTTGAACCCTGGAGGCGGAGGTTGCAGCGAGCCAAGATCGCGCCATTGCACTCCAGCCTGGGCAAAAAGAGCGAAACTCTGTCTCAAAAAAAAAAAAAAAAGCAGCAAATCCATGCAAATTAAAATCTATGTATGCATGGAAGAACATGCAAGATTGCATTCAACCAGGAATGCAGGCCTATGGAATTCAGACTATGCTTGGTGCAGCGCATTAGGTTCCAACCCAACAGTGTGACCTAACAATTAGCATCTCTGGACTCAGTTTGCCATCTGTAACCATCTGGTAGGGGAAAGACCTATTAAAAAAAACAAAAAAACAAAAAAACAAGGGTTCCCCAAACTGACTGCCCATCCAAAAGTCACTTTGAGAGAGTTCAGTAAAAGCCCAGATGAAAGCTCTCTTCCGGGTGAAAGCTCTCCTCTGGGTGACTCCTATGCAGAGCAAGGCTGGAACGTTTCTACACCAGATGGTCTCGAAGGCCTCAGCCAACTGAAAGATACAGGCTCCTACTGTGGTTAAAAAATTTTATCCTATTTCCTGGCTTTCCCTCTTGGCCTCCTCTTCTCTTCTACAGTTAAAACAGCTTTCATTTTGCCTACTAGAGTAAGAAAGTGATGGGTAGGACAGTGTAAAATGTGTCAAGGATTTCTCCAGGTTTTTTCTCCCTACTTGCTAACTCTGAAACATGGGTAATATTTGCAACGATATTTCCAGTGTCTGTAAGTAAAATGTTATTAGAACACATTCTATACTCACTAATTTAAATATTTTCTGTGGCTGCTTTCACACTACAACAGCAGAGCTGAGTAGCTGTGACAGAGATCACATAGCCCACAAAGCCAGACATCATGGTCAAGTTTTATTAGCATTAAAGGGAAATATTTCATAAAATCGTTTACATCTTAAAAATGGTTAACATCTACACCATAGGTTTTTACACTGAAAACAATAAATTTAACAGAATATTCTAGAAATTGACTTAAGCCAGAAATAATAATTTAACATACGGTAAATCAGAAACAATATAATAATACAAAAATACGGCAGAACAAATACACGCAGACCTAAGTTCAGTGGACATAAATCTAAGTAGAAATTAGCTTGGATTTGCCTTCCACTTTCTAATCAACATATAAGCCAAAGAATTTGTTTTCATCCTTCTCCCCCTCCCAAAAAAGACCAAAAAGAATAGCAGAATGATTTATCATTCTAGCAAAAAAGGAAAGCAAAAAGTTTCTTGACCTCCAATCCTGCAGAAGATATTTCTTACTCTTAGAGAAACAAAGGTATTAAAATGAAGGTAGATGTGACTTTTAAAAAATGCAGCATAAAAGTAGGAACATGCAAGACTGCATACATGCATCATTCTACTTTCCAAAACTCTCCTAAAATGACAGTAAAGAAATGAAAGGATATAAAAACACAAAGAGAATGAGTAGAGGAGACAGATTTCAAGGTTTTAACCAAGCTTATTAGTAATAAGGTGCGAAGAGCTGAAACCTAAGTTCTTCAGAAAGGAATTCCCACGAGAAGCAACTCCACAAGAGAAACTCAAGAAGTCCATATAAAGAGCAGTCAGATCCCTGCCCCAAGCCTTCCCTAACACCTTACTGCTAGGGCTGTGGCTAAGAGTGATTTTTACATTGTTTAATGGTTGGGGGAAAAAAGTCAGAAGACCAGTATTTCAAGACACATGAAAATGCTATGAAATTCAATTTCTAGGCTGGGTGGGGTGGCTCACGCCTATAATCCTAGCACTTTGGGAGGCTGAGACAGGCGGATCACTTGAGGCCAAGAGTTTAAGACCAGCCTGGCCAACATGGCAAAACCCCATCTCTACTAAAAACACAAAAATTAGCTGGGCCTTGTGGTGCATGCCTGTAATCCCAGCTACTCAGGAGGTTGAAGCACAAGAATCATTTCTTGAAAGTGACTGGGAGGCAGAGGTTGTAGTGAGCCAAGATTGTGCCACTGCATTCCAGCCTAAGTGACAGAGCGAGACCCTGTCTAAAAAACAAACGAAAAACAAAAACAAACAAAAAAACAGGCATGGTGACCCATGCCTGTAATCCCAGCACTTTGGGAGGCCGAGGCAGGTGAATCACCTGAGGTCAGGAGTTTGAGACCAGCCTGGTCAACACAGTAAAACGCTGCTTCTACTAAAAATACAAACAATTAGCTGGGCATGGTGATGGGTGGCTGTAATCCCAGGTACTCGCGAAAATGAAGCAGGAGAATCACTTGAACCTGGGAGGCGGGGGTTGCAGTGAGCCGAGATAGTGCTACTGCAAGCCAGCCTAGGCGACAGAGCGAGACTCCGTCTCAAAAATAAATAAATAAAATAAAATAAAATAAAATCAATTTCCAGTGTCCATAAGTAAAATTTTATTGGAATTCATTCACATTCACTCATCTATATATTTTCTATGGCTGCTTTCACGCTACAATAGCAAAGCTGAGTGGTTGTGACAGAGATCACATTACCCACAAAGCAGGAAATATTTATTATCTGTTCCTTTGCAGGAAAAGTTACCAACCCCCACTCCACGTTACTCTGTGAACCAAGGGGCACTGGAGTGCAGTAGGGATCAAGCGAAGGTCTACATACTGAACAATGAGACCCCAGCCTCCTCCCACAGCTTAGCTCCCAAAACCCTGGTGGGAAGGCCTTTATAATTCCCAAGCAGCAGATGGAGAGCTAGGATCTACAGAACAGGCTTAAAGATACTGAGAATTCAGGCCCTGCACCCCTGTGCCTAGTGAGCTCCCAATGAACTTTTCATGCCTCATTCAAATATAAGTTAGCAGCCAAGGATCACCACACATTTCAATAAAGTCTCCACCATAAAAGAGAGGCCAAAACAAACAAAAACTAGAATCTGAAGGAAAGAGAGCCAATACAGAGGTTTTTAAAAAAATAAATAAATAAATAAATAAATACAAGTATACCTCAGAGATATTGAAGGCTCTGTTCCAGACCACTGCAACAAAGCTAATACTGCAGTAAAGTGAGTCGCACGAATTTTTCAGTTTCCCAGTGCACATGAAAGTTATGTCTACACTACAATCCATTTTGTGTACGGTAGTAGCACTAAATATATATATATACACACACACACCCACACCCACACACACACACACCCCTTAATTTAAAAATACT